AGTAGTAATCTACATAAGTGATATACTTGACACTTCATAAATTGATTTAAAAGTATGTAAGAATATGATTGGTAGAAAGAGAAAAAAGGAACAAATCTTTCCTCATTTGACCCCATGTGCTCAGATTAATAGTGGTGTGATAAGGAAAAAAAAAGTTTACATATAGGCTCTGACTGACCTTCGAACTTGAGGGAATTTGAGAGCAATTCCAGGTACAGTTATACCGTCATGATGTAATTGCCTATGATGTATATACACATCATAATTTGCAACAGGTGGGCAGGCTGGATACAGCTTAGTCCTAGCCACAAAGTGTAGACTGGTGCATAATATCACATCATAAAAAATTCAGGCCATGTCATCATAAGGTTAAGGGGAAGCCCATACACTTGAAAGTGAGAATGAAGTTCATGATGCAAGAAGCCAAACAGGTAATTGTCATTGCTTGGATGGCTTGTGATGAAATTCAATCAGTAGATCCCTGTCTCCTCAGAAGTCGATGAGGAAATTTTGTAATGCCCTGGCATTCCTGATGAAAATTATTGAATCAAAGCAGTTTTGAAATTATACACTTAACTTGCAGAACATTGGTTCCACTTTTATTTAAGAAAGTCTAGGTTATGATTATTTACTTCTTTTTTTTTTTTCTTTCTTTTTTTTTTTTTTTTTTTTTTTTGGTTACTTGGTGGAAGTTTAAGTAAGAGCCCTATGAGTAGCTCATCCTAGGGCCAACCTGGGGGACTGCCCAGAACAATTTTCTTTAGTACCAGTTAGTTTTATTTAAAAAAATCCTTAGTACCTGTTAGTTTTATATTGGCAATTTGAAAAGTATTCTGCAATTGCAAAAGGTATTCAGATACTATCCACAAAGGAACTATTAATTGTTTTGCAATTGGAAAATTGATCTTTCCTATTGCATTTTTTATTATAACCCATCATTTCTTTTCTCATTCTTTAACTGTGCTGTGTGCTGAAATTCCTTCAAGTAATGTTCCAAAATTGAAAAAAAAGAAAGATTTCACATGTTCATCGTTTATTTACTACAAAAATGCACAATTTAGATTTCAAGAGCTGTAAGTTGCTTTGTTTTCATTTCTTTTGTCATTTATGGGAGTGCTTGATTAAGTCTTTAATCAAGTTAATTACTACCTGTCACTTCTGAACAGTTTCTCTATACTAGTACAAAGATGGAATGTTGATTCACAAGCAATCATTTAATTCATTTTGCAAAGGAAAATGAATTAAGTTGCAACTATGCATGATGTTGCTACATTGCTGCTTCTTAGAAGTAGTGATGTTGAAATTGATATATGATGAAAGAGAAGAAAATTTAGTGATCTTGCAGTGATTTTAGATTTTTATTATTATTATTATTTTTTTCATTGATCACAATAAGTGATTATAGGAATTGTATTGACCTGGGCATGGGAGGACTTGAGTTTGGTTTGGGATAGGTTAAGGTCATTTTACATTCTAATAACAGAGGGTTGGAGAAAGATCTGTTTTAGAAAATATATATAAATGAGGAGTAAAATCATTCCTTTTCTCTTCTACCAGTGATCAAGAATGCCACCCAAAAAGGAAGCAGCCCCCGCGCCCCCGCCCTTGATTGGCCGTGTGGGCACCAACTTGAAGGTGGGCATAGTGGGCCTGCCCAATGTTGGCAAGTCCACCTTCTTCAACGTCCTCACCAAATCCTCGGCAAATGCTGAAAACTTTCCATTCTGCACCATCGATCCCAATGAAAATAAGTATCTCAGCACCTAATGGGAATAGTGCTTCTAAATAGTTGATTGAGTATTTTTTTATTCGTTTTCATTTTTTTGTGAATGTGTGTATAAAGCATATATCAGAACACTCAGATAATTGGGCTGCTTTAACTCTTATTATTTGCTATGAGTGAGTTTTGAGTATCTTCCTTTATGTATGTTGGCCTGCAGTTGTTTATTTCCTATATATTTTCTTTAGAATTACTATACAAGTGGGGTATTAAAATCACTAAAGAGGAATGTTTACAGGATTCTGAAGGTTCATAGCTATATTTTAAGAGGGTTAGTACTGTATATTGCATTCATGATGTCTTTTTGTGTATGTCAGAGAGTGTGAGTGAGTGTGTTAGTGTGTGTGTGCATGTGTGTGAAATTCATGTTGAACAGATTGCAGTAGGAACAACGAAGGGAAGGGCAAGAAAACACACGAATATGCCGAAAGCCTTTTCACTATTGCTTCGTCAGGGCATATCTGACGAAGCAATAGTGGAAAGGCCTCAGGCATATTTGCGTGTTTTCTTGCCCTTCCCTTCGTTGTTCCTATTGCATGTGTGTATGTGTGTGTGGGTGCGTGTGTGCGTGCGTGCGTGTTCATGTGAGTTTAAATTAGTGTTAGTTTACTGTTAGTGTGTGTGTCTGTGCGTGTGTATTTGTTAATTTGTTTGTAAGTGTGTTTGATAGTGTGTCTTTGTTTTAGTTTGTATTAGTGTTAGTGTGTGCGTGCATGTGTGGGTGCGTGTGTGCGTGCGTGCGTGTTCATGTGAGCTTGTATTAGTGTTAGTTTACTGTTAGTGTGTGTGTCTGTACGTGTGTATTTGTTAAATTGTTTGTAAGTATGTTTCATAGTGTGTCTTTGTTTTAGTTTGTATTAGTGTTAGTGTGCCTGGGCAGGGGCAGGGACATGTGTGTGTGGGTGTGTGTGTATGTATGTGTGTGTGGTCTGCTGTGTGAAGGTGTGTGGGGGTAGGGTTGGGGGGGTGCATGTGTGTATGTGCGTGCGTGCGTGCGTGCGTCTGTGCGTGCGTGTCGTGTGCGTGCGTGTCCGTGCGTGCGTGTCCGTGCGTGCGTGTCCGTGCGTGTCCGTACGTGTGTGTGTGTGTGTGTGTGTGTGTGTGTGTGTGTGTGTGTGTGTGTGTGTGTGTGTGTGTGTGTGTGTGTGTGTGTGAGAGAGAGAGTGGGTGAGAGTGAGGGTAAGAATAAGAGTGTAAGAGTAAGAATGAGAGTGTAAGAGTAAGAATGAGAGTGTAAAAGTGAGAGTGAGAGTGTAAGAGTGAGAATGAGAGTATAAGAGTGAGAATGAGAGTATAAGAGTGAGAATGAGAGTATAAGAGTGAGAATGAGAGTATAAGAGTGAGTATGAGAGTATAAGAGTGAGAATGAGAGTATAAGAGTGAGAATGAGAGTATAAGAGTGAGAATGAGAGTATAAGAGTGAGAATGAGAGTATAAGAGTGAGATGAGAGATAAAGAGTGATGAGAGGAGAATAGTGAGAGTGAGAGTGTAATAGTGAGAGTGAGAGTGTAAGAGTGAGAGTGAGAGTGTAAGAGTGAGAGTGAGTGTAAAGAGTGAGTGAGTGTAAGAGTGTAAGAGTGAGATAGTGTAAGAGTGAGAGTAAGAGTGTAAGAGTGAGAGTGAGAGTAAGAGTGAAGAGTGAGAGTAGAGTATAAGAGTGAGAGTAAGAGTGAGTGAGAGTAAGAGAGAGTTAATAGTGTAAAGAGTGAGAGTAAGAGAAGAGTGAGAGTAAGAGTAAGAGTGAGAGTGAGAGTGTAAGAGTGTAAGAGTGAGAGTAAGAGTGTAAGAGTGAGAGTAAGAGTGTAAGAGTGAGAGTAAGTAAGAGTGTAAGAGTGAAGAGTGAGAGTAAGAGTGTAAGAGTGAGAGTAAGAGTGTAAGAGTGAGAGTAAGAGTGTAAGAGTGAGAGTAAGAGTGTAAGAGAGACTAAGAGTGTAAGAGTGAGAGTAAGAGTGTAAGAGTGAGTGAGTGTAAGAGTGTGAAGAGTGTAAGAAGTGAGTGTGTAAGAGGTGAGAGTGAGTAAGAGTGAGAGTGTGTAAGAGTGAGAGTGTAAGAAGTGAGAGTGTAAGAGTATAAGAGAGAAGAGAGGAGAGAAGAGAGAGAGAGAGAGAGAGAGAGAGAGAGGGGGGGGGGAGAGAGAGAGAGGCGGGGAGAGAGAGAGAGAAGAGAGAGAGAGAGAGAGAGAGAGAGAGAGAGAGAGAGAGAGAGAGAGAGAGAGAGAGAGAGAGAAGAGAGAGAGAGAGAGAGAGAGAGAGAGAGGGGGGAGAGAGAGACGAGAGAGAGAGAGGGGGGGAGAGAGAGAGAGAGAGAAGCGGGGAGAGAGAGAGAGAGAGAGAGAGAGAGAGAGGAGAGAGAGAAGAGAGAGAGAGAGAGAGAGAAGAGAGAGAGAGAGAGAGGGGGAGAGAGAGAGGAGAGAAGAGAGAGAGAGAGAGAGGGGGAGAAGAGTGAGAGAGAGAGAAAGGGGGGAGAGTG